CCCTGCGTCTTTGTTGCCCAGCTATAAAATGTATTATACTATTTTATCTTCTTAAGAGCAAGGGGACAGAATGATCTCTGAGACTCTGGCGATTTGTCTATCCCTGTACTACTTCTATCTGTTCTGTCTTTTCAGTCTAATCAGCCTCCTCTCTTATCGGCCTGGATCGCTGTTAGAAGCCTGGCTTCCAAACCTGGCCTTCCTTTTCCACAATACTTACTTTTTCTCTCTAAGGCCAAGTGTGGGATTGGGAGGATGCAGATTTTCAACCGATTCTTCAAACCCATATAACTAATTTTAGAATATATCCAAAGTTGATGACCAAATTAGAATTTTTCCCTTCTTGAAATATTTTTTTAAATCAACCTAACTTAAGACTTTCCCCCCATAGATTGAAACATTAATGAACCTTCAAACAAGAAGGTTTTTATGATTCCTCAAACTAACTTGAAGATGAAAACTTGTATTTTATTAAGCTCTGCTAATGTATGTGATGATAGGTTAAACATTAAATTTAGAGGTAACTTTCTGCATCTTCTCAACCAACTATTTTCTCTACTTCTTTTCACTGATCTTTTGATATAGAAGAAAGAAAAACTTCCAGAAGTTGAGACCAAAACTCTAATCATGTCTCTACCAGTGACTCATGATTCTAAGCATATCACTTAATCTGCTTCTTCATTTGTAAAATGGGAATAAGACATTGTCCTACCTACCCCACAGGGTTATGTGAATCAAGTCAGATGATGGTTGTGAACATGCATTGAATATAAAATGCTATGGGAATTAATGGATTGTTATTTCAGATTCAAAACATGCTTATTTTCTGAACACATCTCCTAGACTGCAAATATATTTCCTGAACTTTAGGTGCTAGAAATGGATGTACTGAAGGACCTATTGCCAACTGGATTTCTCCAGTCCTGGCGCCTGAATTCCTACATTATTAATAGAATCATTTCAGATACTTTGAAATGTATTTTAAATTCTAATATGTTGAGTAATATATTTATGGCCAATATTGGCAAAGTACATTTGCTACCCTTTCCTAATTACTCTAATTTATTTTACATAATAGAAATAGTAAATAAAGGCTATATCTTCAGTTTTACTGAAATAGGAAGATGAAGAGATTCATGGAATGTATAAAGAACTGGAGAAAAAGTACACGTGCCCTGAAATTGAGTTGGTGCCATCTTTTTGGAAAGTAATATAGCAATACACAATAAAGCTATAAAACTGATTTGTGTTTTGACCCAGTGATTCTTCTACTAAGCTTATACCCCAAAGCAGTGTTTCTCCAGGGACTAACAGGGACTCCTGAGATTCCCTGAGACTTTTTTAGGGGAAATTTAAGGTCAAAACCATTTTCATGACAATACTAAGATGTTATCTGCCAATTAAAATAGCCTTCCCTTTTCCAACCACCTGTAAAGGCTAGATTTCTTCACATACTTTAGTCAAACAACATATCTCAATAGATTGAATGCAGAAGCAGATATGAGAATCCAGCTGTCTTCAAACAAACCAGACATTAGAGATTTACAAAATGTGTAAAACAATGCCACTTTTCTTAAATTTTGTTTTGGAAAATAGTGTTATCGTTTATTTAAAATGTTATTTACTTTATCATGTGACAGATTGACTATTGAATTAATATTTTAAAATTTTATCAGCTTTAGTTCCTAACACACAACATGTTGACAGCTATAACTCACCTAAACAAAAGCTCTTTGGAGTCCTCAATAATTTTTAAAGTTGTCCTCAGATCAAAAAATTTGAGAACCACTATCATAAGGATATTATTGAAAAGAAACACAGGTATGTATATAAAAATAGTCCCGGTAGCCTTATTTGTAACTGTGAAGGCAGAAAAAATTGTGGCATATGAATGTAATTAATTGCACCTAAGAAATGATAAATATAAATAGTACAAAGAAACATGGGAAAACATGAGTTGATAATGAAAATAATTTTGTTGTGATTTGTTGTTTGTTCAACTATAATTGTAAAAAAAAAGCAACAAAAAAATGCAAAGAAAAAGATCAAAAGGAAACATGGAAGCAAATGGAATGCTTTTATTAGTCTGTTAAAGTTAACATGTTTTGTTTTGTGTTTTTAAATTGCTAATAATGTAATAATCGTAGAGAGGCATCTTGGTGAAGTAGATAATGGCTGGTAAGAAGTCCGGCAGGAAGACCTGAATTCAAATCCTACCTCCGACACTACTGGCTGTGCACAAATCTGTTTAATAGTCTGGTTTACTAGAAGACAACTGGATTCCCACATCTGGCAAGTCACAACCTCTCAGTTCACGCTTCAGGCTAAGTTTCAGGGAAGGTACTTGTCTGGGTTGATGGAAGGAATTTTCCCACTGGGAGCTCCCGGTAACAATGAAGCCACAGGCCCAGTGCCTGTCTCTAACGAAGTTTACTGTTTAAAGTACAATTCTATTTTGGTTTCTCAATGGTTTTGTTTTTGTTGTTGTTCAGGATTTTTTCAATACAATCCTCAGGACACTTACTGCACCAGTGCTTGGAGCCTGCAACGCCGAGAAAGTATGCTCTCGCACATTTTTACAGAGAGGGGAACTGAGGCCCATCCCTGAGCTGTGGGTTTCACGCGACTTCGGATGGACGTTTCCCAAGCGTCCGTGTTCCCCGGCTGCCGTGGAGGGCCTGACCCTGTGCTCTACGTGCCCCCCTAGGCCCCAGGTCCGACAACCTTTGCGCTCTCCCGCCCTGTAACAGCGGGACAGGAAGAGATGCCTCGTTGCCATAGGAATTAGCTCGTCCCTACGTCAACGGAGAGGTGACCGAGGGGGCGGAGCCAGAGGGGGATTGGCAGCCGCGGACTGGGAGGCGGGGCATAAGGCGATGAGCAGCTCCGGGGCCCAATGGCGGCGGCGTGTGGGCCACTCGGGCCCAATAGCTAGAGGCCGAGGCGGGCCCGGGGGCGCTGGAGGTTTCTAGAAGGGGCTGGGTCTCTTCTCGTCTCGTCTCGTCTCGTCTCGCGGGTCTATGCGGAGCTCGCTTTGGGGCCGCGGCTGAGCTGAGCACGTCTCGAGCCACTTCTCTCGCGCCCGCCTCCGCTTCGCAGTCATGTCGGCCGTGAAGGCGCTGAACCCCAAAGCCGAGGTGGCCCGGGCTCAGGCGGCGCTGGCCGTGAACATCAGCGCGGCCCGGGGGCTGCAGGACGTGCTGAGGACCAACCTGGGGCCTAAGGGCACCATGAAGATGTGAGGCCACGGGGACGGGAGCGCGCGGCCGGGCGGGGGTGGGGGAGGGGAAGGGGCGCTGGGGGGGCCTGCGCGGGAGGCTGCATCCGGTCCGAGCCTTCTGGGCTCACGACTCCCGGCCCTCGTCCGGCCGGGCCTCGTGGGGGGAGGAGGGGAGAGGCTGCCAGAAACGTGTCCCGGGGGGGAATCGCCCCCCGCTGTGCGGCCAGGGCGCCCGGAGACCCCGCGACCACCTCTGAGCCCTGGAACGCGTGTGCGTGTGAGAACGTGGGTGCGAGCCTGCCCACGGCGGCCCTGGGAGGGAGGGGCTCTCACACGTGGGCCGGTCGCTCTTCCCCACCAGGCTTGTTTCCGGGGCTGGAGACATCAAGCTCACCAAGGATGGCAACGTGCTGCTGCACGAAATGGTGAGAAGCGCCCCGCCCCCCGGGCTGGAGTCAGAGTCTTTGTGTGTCCCCGAAGAATAGGGGGGAGGGTTAACAGTTGTGCAGGCCTACTACGTGCTGGGCTCAACCCCGATCCTCCCAACCACTGGGGAAGGTTGGGCCTGATATTCTCCCTTTGTTACAGTTGAGAAAATTGAGGCGAACAGGTTAAGTGACTTGCCCTGGGTCACACAGCTAATAAGTGTGACAGGAGGCCACATTCAAACGGGTCTTCCTGACTCATCACTTTAACCACTTATTTTTATCATTAACTGACTTAGAAGTTATAATTATAAAAAAAAATTGAGCTCAAATAGGCACATTGCTTCAGAAAGGGAAATCGAATTTCTGAGGACATAATTATCTGTTGTCAGCTGAAATTCCATTTCAGATAATTTTAAAATAACAGGAAAATTTTAATCCATTCCCTGAAAGTTCATGGTAACAGGATTTGACTTGTTTATTTTTTAATTGGTGTCATGTACACCTTTTAGCAGGGACTCTTTAGTCATAGGTAACAATGAGATATTGATTTTGAGACTTACTTGCTTTTGAGATTCATTAGTCCCATATCATTTTGTCCTTGTGAGAGGGCACTTGTTTAGTAAAGAGGAATCTCTTTCATCTAAAATTTTAATTGTATATTTTTCATTTTCTATTTTTAGCAAATTCAACACCCAACAGCCTCCTTGATAGCAAAAGTAGCTACAGCCCAGGATGACATTACTGGTGATGGCACCACTTCAAATGTTCTCATCATTGGGGAGCTGCTGAAGCAGGCGGACCTCTACATTTCTGAAGTACACATGACTGTCACATTCCTGTGGTATTTTCTTCTAAATAGGAAATGTTTTATTTGTCCACTCTAGACCAGTTTAGGGGCCTCATAGTGATTGGCCTCTTGTATAACTAAAAAAAGTTAAGTTATTTTTTATCTAACTTTTTAAATATGGTCTAGTGAAAGGTGCCTGAGGATTATATTTAACTGGATTCCAAAAGGAAAAGAATCAGCAAAGTAGGGAAGGGATCAGGGCTTTTGTTTAGCACTAACCTCTTGTACCTTTAACCAATTTAGTAAGAAAGTAAGTAGGAAAATAGGGAAAGGATAGAAAAGGTTTCATGTACTGAAGAGTCCTAGAGGACCATAAGCACTTGCCTGAGGTTATTTTAGATCCATAGAGTTCCTCACTTTTTATTTAGAGAAAATAAGAGGTTGTCTTCTAAGGGGCTGTTTATTCTTTATTAATACATAAAAGGAATTCCAGATGACTTATGAAAAATATGCCTAGCCAAAGCATCAGTAGGATTGGGAGGGGGCATCCCTTATTCCTTACTATTGGCACAGAGAACACCCAAGCGTGCTTTGTAGTTCCCTTGGTTTATAGTCTGTGCTAGAATAACATCTGCTCTTTTCCTCTGCATTGGAAGGACTGTCTATCCTTTTACATGTATTCAGAAGGGCAGCACATTTCTGAGATTGAGTGGTAACCAGTAGGCCTACCACATACAAAAAAAGATATAAGCTTTGCCATGACAATAGAGCCAGACTTTGAAGAGACTAATGGATGGCTTTATGAATGTTGTTACCAGGGTCTGCACCCTCGAATCATAACGGAAGGGTTTGAAGCTGCTAAGACAAAGGCCCTTGAAGTCTTGGATCAAATCAAAATAAGCAAGGAAATAGATAGAGAAATCCTCATCGATGTGGCCCGAACATCGCTGCGCACCAAAGTCAATGCTGACCTGGCCGATGTGCTGACGGAGGTGGGTGTTGGGTGGAGTCTGGGTGAGCGGGGCCGACGTGAAGAAGTAAGAAAGCAGGAGCGTTTCAGCTCGTAAAGGAAGGGAGCAGAGCAGAAGGCAGTCTCCCCATTTGGGTAAATTAGAAAATTGAGGACCAGAAAGGGCCTTTAGGGCCAGTACTCTTACAATGCTGCACTGCTAGTGTTGGCAATTTTCATCAGTTCTGTCTTGCCAGTAAAACCAAGAAATACTTGTGATGGTTCAGTAAAACTGAAGAATAATGCAAAGTGCTCATTTGTTCTACCTGCTAATGTCCTATACACCAGTCTTTGTATGGGGTGAGGGTTCTGTTCCACAGGTAGGTTAAAACCTAACGCATTTGGAGCTTGGAAATATGTTACACAGATAGAGATTTGTGTTGTGGTTTAATGTGACTTGTGTGTCTTCATAGAAAGTGGTCTGTCAGCTTACTGACTTTTGTTTGGAAAAACAGAGAAGTGGTGGTTATGGCCCTGGCATAATACTTGGTCTTCAGTGGAAACTGCAAAATGGCTGTTTTACAATAGGAATTGAAAATTTTCTTTCCTTTGATTGCTACCTTGAAGCTGTAATATTGGAGGGGGGGCTAGATATATTTTTGGTGGATAATAGTTAATTTTAATGGCCATTGAGAAAAGGGAAAAATTGGAACTGGGTTAAAATGTAGGCAACAACCTTATTTTATCTTTGTGTCCCCTTGTATTGCAGGCCGTAGTAGACTCGGTTTTGGCTGTCAGAAAACCAGGTGAACCTGTTGATCTTTTCATGGTAGAGATCATGGAGATGAAGCATAAGTCAGAAACTGACACAACGTAGGTAGTTAAAAGTTGTTGGAAATGTTGACTCTGAAATTTTATTGTCTTACAGATTTTTAAAGTGTAAGTTTTATATGCAGGTCATCCAAAGTAATTTAACTCTTGAATTTTTAGACTAGTTGGAAAGTTGAAGCAATTTTGTAGGGTAACTTTCAGAACAAATGTTCCATGAGGTATCATTTTGCCTCTTTATTTGTGATGTCTTTGGATGAGTAATGGGGATATGCATTTTGCGTAGATGAATCCTATATATCACACACTATGCAAGTTTTGCTAAGGCTACATTGGTGGTTGGCATGATTCTACAGGAAGTGAGTAAATCTGTGTGTTGTATGCAGAGCCCACCACCCAGCATTGCTGGGCTAATATTAAAAAGGAGCATGCCTCTGCCAAAAATACTGTAGGGGAGGGGCTGGCACAGAAGCCAGTCCATTAGAAGATCAAAATAAGTGAATGCCATAGGTGGTGAGGGGGTCCAGTCGGAATGTTCATCCCTCACTTGGTTTTTGATTGTTAAAATCTAGCTGCATTTAGTAGGTGAATGCACAGTGAGCCTTCCCCCTCCCCTTTGTTTTGCGGGGGTGAGTGGTGAATATTTTGTCCTGGGGCTTAAAAAAAAGAAATTGGTGGCTTTTAAAGGCTGTGAAAGAAGTTATTAAAGTTGTCTCACTTAAATTTGCTCTTTTATATTTTATTGCTTGATACGCTGTCTTTCAGGCAAACTATAATATACTCATAGAAGGAAATACATATTTTAATAGGTTGATCAGAGGACTGGTATTGGACCATGGCGCCCGACATCCTGATATGAAGAAAAGAGTAGAAGATGCTTACATCCTTACGTGCAATGTATCATTAGAATATGAAAAAACGTAAGTTCAGGTTATCTTCATAAATTGATCACAGTGAATGACCTCTAAGAGACCCAGCTAGTGGCTCTAAACCTATGGTCCTATGAAGTGAATTTTCAGAAATTGCATGTGATAATATGGGTTTTTTCCTGACTTTTTAAATAATCTTATTTCTTGCTTCTTTTTTTTTAGAGAAGTAAATTCTGGATTTTTTTACAAAAGTGCAGAGGAAAGAGAGAAACTAGTAAAAGCAGAAAGGAAATTCATTGAAGATAGAGTAAAGAAAATAGTAGAACTGAAAAGAAAAGTGTGTGGTGATTCAGACAAAGGATTTGTTGTTATTAACCAAAAGGTGAGAATGAAATTTTAATGCTCTGTGTTCAGGTCTCAATCACCTAAATAGTCCAATCCATTTTAAGGTTTTTGGTTTTTTTTAATCGTTGCAGGGAATTGACCCATTTTCTTTAGATGCTCTTGCAAAAGAAGGCATAATAGCCCTCCGAAGAGCAAAAAGAAGAAATATGGAGAGGTAAGTTTTGGCAGGTGGGCTGAGTATTTTGAATTTACTCTTACTGTATGTAATTGAGGCTTTACACAGCCAGTTCTCACTTAAAAGGAGTGGCCCATTCCAAAGCCTTACCCCTCCCCTCTTGGGGCTCTGAGTAACCCTGTAGCTGGAGAGGACAAAGGGCCCCTGGCTACACTCTGTCTGCCAAGTCAGATTGGTGTAATGCCAGTTTATGGAAAGCAAGAACTGTCTGTATCTAGTTATTCCAAAGTTTTTTGTTTGTACAGTCCTGGACATTTTGAGCCTAAAGACAAATTTGTTGGTAAGAGGTCATAATTGGAGGAGAATTGAGCTTGGGAATGAAGGGACTGAAGGCACTGGCTCTTCTATGTGAATCATTCTAATATTACCCTTACTGGACTATGGGAAGTGATTCAAGTGATTCCATATGCAACCTCCATTCGGACTTCTGCATGGAAATGAAAAACTTCAGTCCTAACACAAGTGAAAACTTCCTCAAAATTAAATATGCTCATGAATTGGGAGGGTGTTGCTTGTGGGAGTTAAGTTTCCAACCATGGAATTATAAAGTAAGTTTTCCTTATTCAGGTTGACTCTTGCATGTGGTGGCATGGCTATGAATTCTCTAGATGACTTAAATTCTGACTGTTTGGGACATGCAGGGCTTGTCTATGAATACACACTGGTAAGTATATCTCTTCACGAAATTTTTTAGCCCTTGATTATCTCAATTTTTATTTTGCATTTGAAATTTGATGAACCTTTTTGCTGTGTAGAGCTGTGATCACGTTGACATAAGGAGCTCTTTTGGTGAGGAAATAATCTAGTGCAGATCAGTCATTCATCCCCAGCCAGTCTGTGTGGTTGAAGCTGGTCAAATTTCGGGTTGAATTTGAGGCTGGATATCATCTGTTTTTCAAAAAGTTAATACATAATAAACATTTGGTTTGATGAAGATATAAGGTATCCCTTGAACTAAAAATGTTTATTTCTGATACTGCAGGTGTGTGTTAGACCAGCATCTGACATAAACTATGTGTATGACTGTGGGGCATCTTCAGAAGTGACAGAGGCTTCAGTGTAGGAAGGAGAAGGGGCCAAGCCACTGCCTTCCTGTGCAGTATTTCTACTTACCATACCATGCTCCATTGGACCAGCACTGTTAGTTTAGAAAATTCACCATTTTGGGGGTCCTTTTAAGTCAGAGTACATTTGCCGATTCTGTAGGGGTTGTGGCCTCTTGCATTCCCAGATTATTTGCAAACAGCATTAAAATATCTTCTTCCAAATGGCAACTTGCACCAAGTTGGAAATCCAGTTTGGTTTGGACCACAGCTGCCTACTGCGTCATAATCCTTACTGATAAACCTTAATTGCTGCTTAAATTGGTCTTCTGAAAGGAAGATACCTGACAAGATTAAATAACATAATATGCAACCTAAGCGGTTTTTTATCAGTAGTACCAACAGTGTCCCCACTTGAGCGAAGGCTGAACTAAGGTTAGGTTTGTAGCGTCCTCTCCCTGAGTTTGCCATCAAATCATGTACCCTGTCCTATTTTGAAAATAATACTAAGGGCCATTGCCAGCAGGAAACAGTTTCAGAAGCCAAGACCTTTACCCCAAAAGAACTTGGGTCCCATTTGTTTGAGGGAGGATGATGGACCCCTGAAAGTCCCCAGAGCTTTCTACACAGCCCAGATCCCTGGGGTTGCTTAAGGCATCTGGCCCACCCAAACTCACCTGGATTATTTAATTAGTTTACTTCACATTCCTTAATCCCATCCAGGCCCCTTTCTCTGTTACCTCTGGACCACCCCAGGCTATTTGCCACTCCTAGTGTATAAAAATATCCCATCCTCATCAAATGCACAGACTCCTTAAGAGTCTGGCTCTTACCAGACTCACTAGGAATCCCACCCACCCCAACATTGTCTTAATAAACTCATTACTACTGAAAAAAGAAAAGAAAAAATACTAGTGATGGCCTTAAAACTGTTCAGGTGCTGCCTGGTGTTTCTGGTGTTTTCATATTCATTACATGGTGTAGGGAGAAGAGAAGTTCACCTTTATTGAGAAGTGTGGCAACCCCCGATCTGTGACTTTGTTGATCAAAGGCCCAAACAAGCACACGATCACACAGATCAAGGATGCGGTACGAGATGGTCTGCGGGCGGTCAAGAATGCCCTTGAAGATGGTGAGCTTCATACTCCTAAATTCAGCCATTGGGGTGTTTTTGTATCACTCTCGTTTCCCCGTGGATCCTTCCCCCACTCAGAATATCATTTTTTTTGTTTGTTTGGTTGGTGTTGGTTTTTGTTTTTGCATTTTTTTGTGAGGCAATGAGGTTAAGTGACTTGCCCAGGGTCACACAGCTAGTGTCAAGTGTCTGAGGCTCGATTTGAACTCAGGTCCTCCTGACTGCACGGCTGGAGCTCTATCTACTGTGCCACCTAGCTACCCCCAGAATACCATCTTTTATAACAGAATGAAAA